GTGCCAGCAGGACCTGTGAGCTGTGATCCCTCCTGACACGCGACGTGCTTTGGGTCTGCTCAGCTCTCAGGGCACTGATGGTCCCAGTGGGTGTGCATGCTGGAGGTGCCCGGCTAGCTGGTCATCAGGGAGTAAAGGGAGAAGGCAGCCCTCAGGCTGCTCAGTAGCACCCTGTGGAGATGACAGGTGGCCTTCAGCTCACGGCACACTGCCAGACCTCACTGTGAGCAGGGTACCCGGGAGTGTCCTCCCTCAAGGCCGAGAAGGATCAGAGAAGCAGGTGGGCTGAGTGCTGGCCGCCTGAGGACCAGCCCAGACGTCCGCAGAGGCTGGCCTTCGCGGTTTGTCAGCTGCACTGTGGCATGAGCCATCACTGGCTTGTTAGAAGTGGCATTAATCTGTGCTCCTCAGGATAGGATAGAGACGAACCTTGTGCCAAGGACCTGAGAGGAGCTGAAGCCACCCCCAGACCCAGCATGGCTCCCCGTGAGGCCCGTGTTAGAAGCAGACCCGAGGCTGCCCACTCCCAGCTTCCCCGCCCACAAGGGCGGATGGACCACCTGTCCTTGCAGGTGTCCCTGAGAGCCCTGCCTTCCCTGCCCGCCTCAGCACACATGACCCAAGGGAGGTCACAGGACCCTGGCCATGAGTGCTTGTTCTAGAAGCTCTGGATTCTCTGGCACACAAGGCTGTTGCTGATGAGTCCTGGGGGATCTGGCCTCAGGGGGTGTTCAAAAAGGGCGGGGGATAGAGGTGGGGACAGTAGAGTCAACAGGAGGAAAAACTGGGGAGAATATGGCTACAGTTGAAGTTCCTGGCCCCAGTCCTGCCTGAAGTCAGGTCCCAGCTACACTATCACTAAATTTCCTCTTTCCCTTTGAGCTAGAGTACAATCACACACACACACACACACACACACACACACACACACACACACACACACACAAATTCCAAGTATTACAAGGCCAGTGTGCCTCAGGTTGCAGATCCATCTGAGCTGGGCCATTAGGAGGCCTCCTGGGATGGAAACCTAGGATCAAGCAGGTCTTTGCCCCAAGGCCAAGAGTCAGGCCTTTCTCCTAGCCGGGAGGGGGCGTCATTCTGGAATCCCGCAGGCCTGATATCCCGTTTCCCTTAAATTTCAGGGCCTGTGGGCCCAGTGGTCAAGTAGTGTCAGAGATGAGGTACCCACAGGACCTCAAGAGCCCAGTGAGTCTCCTCCACAGCCCCAGGAAAGAATACCACATAAGGCGTGGGTGGGGGTGCTAGTTCAGGGCTGGATTTGGGGGCAGAGACCATGTCAGGCTAGAGGATGTCTCTAAGAAGACCACAGGAGACCGAAGCCCATCCACCCCTGAGGAGGCCATGCAGCTTCTCCCTCTTGGTTCCTCTGGCTCACTCTCCTCCCACACCGGGGGAATTGGCTAGCCTGGGCCCACAGCCTCAGCCTGCAGCACATACAGACCTCAGGTTCAAAGGCCTCTCAGGGCCTGGGATCCAGAGGACAGAGTCACCAGGTAACCTACAGTGGCCTCTGGGATGTGCTGACACTAACACATCACTCTGCTGCCCAAGCTCAGGGATAATAGCCTTTCCCAAACCTGGCAACACTTGGAGGAGGGGCAGGCCGGGCAGGCAGAAGACTAAAGGGGAAAGGCAGAGCCCAGGCCCCACCTCCCTCCTGCTACTGGCTCACATATACCTCTGCCCGCTTGCCACTCCCCCTGCTTGCCACTTGCACCTGGCCCCAAGCCAAAGGGTGGATGATACCCCATCTTCCCTGGAGGAGTTGTCTATGGCAACAGGGACACCCAGAGCAAACCCCAATGCAGGGAAGAGCACTCGGCTGCCCTCTCACTGCACCCTCCACCCCAGGCACCTGTGGGGTCCACTCTGATGACTCCCATGCCTTTGGCAATCAGCTGTCCCGGCAGTGGCCATGTGACCCTCATTGTAACCGTGCTGGCATTCCTCTCTGCCTTTCCAGGCAAAGGTAAGAACCGTCTGCTCCCAGCGCTATCATGGAGGATTACCTAAAGAAGGAGCACCGCTCTGCACACCTGTCTAATGGTTACCTACCTGTCTGTGACGCTCCACTCTCCAAAAGCACTTGAAGTGCCTGTGAGTGTGGTGACCAGACTCCTGCCGCCTGGGCCTGCATGTTCACCTCTTTGCTCACCTGCCTGGCTAGTGACTACTACAAGGGATTTGGGCAGTTCTTTCCCAGACAGGCAACACCTCACAAGGCCTGGTCTGAATGGGACCTGACAGCTGCCGGGAGTTGCAGTAGCCCTGTGTCGACATGGCTGAATGTAGCTCTGGGTCCACAGCCCACAACGAGTGCAAGTGGGGAAGTCCCCACCTCCTGCACTTCCCTGTCACCCACCTGTGCCCCCACAGTACTGAACCCCTGGGATGGGTGGGCACAGGGTCGGCAGTCCGTTGTGACATAGAAGCACACCCACCTGCCCCAGGAAGAGCTGTGATAAACCTGCTCTCCAGGACGTAGGTGGACATGCTGGCTGGAAATGGACTTGGGAGGCTCTGGGGATCTGGGATCCAAGACGCTGTCACATAGACTCACATACTTGGAGATGTGACCTCAAGTTCCTCTCACCTGGCACCCCGGAAACAAACATCTGATCCTCTAAGCCACCCTGGAGTCCAGGAGTGATTCGGAGGTGCCCAGCCTGGAGCCACCCAAGAGGGAAGGGTGCTCTGCTCCTCCCTGCTTCCCCAGCCCCACTCCACCTGTCCTTCATGGGCCACATGCAGGTGGAGGCTGGGCTAGATAAGAGCAGACAATGCCCATGTGGAAAGTATTGACTCCCAACTAATTCCCCTTGCTCAGCAGGAACATCCTGGGGACAGCACAGTAACTCAACTGGCTAATACTCTGCCTACAAGCACCTTCACCCTAATGGGCACTGGATCATGTCTCAGCTGCTCCACTTCCCATCCATCTCCCTGCTTGTAGCTCTGGAAAGTAGTGGAGGATAGCCCAAAGCCTTGGGACCCTGCACCTACATGGGAGACCCAAAGAAGGTATCAGCTCCTGCCATTGTGGCCATTTGTGGAATGAACCAGCAAATGGAAGAGCTTTCCCTCTGTCTGTCCTTTTCTCTGTAAAAACTGCCTTTCCAATGAAAATAAATAAATCATTTTTTAAAAAGAAAAGGAAGGAAAATGGTATCGTATCACACACAGAGTGGATGAGTCATACCGTATGCTAGTTCACAAAAGTGGCGCAAATGTGTGAGCCCATGCATGTATTCATACACACAGACATAGATGCACATGGGCAGCGAGTGTGAACATCTCATGTAGGGTGAGTGTGCTGCACGTGAGGATGCGGGCTTTTCATGAAGACACTATCAGTCACAGATGAATAGGTTGAGTGTCTGTATCCGAAATCTTGGTGGGACCAGAGGGTTGCAAATTTGCTAAAATTTGGGAATATTTGCATATACATAATAAGATCCCTTGCGGGGGGATACACATGAAATGCATTTAGGTTGTGCACATACTTTACACATGTGTCCTGGGGTAGTTTTGCACAATGCTTGTGGCGTGCCTGTATTCTGACTTGGATCTGTCCTGTGAGGTCAGCTGTATGGAATTTTCCATTTGGGTTGTCTTGTTGTCTGGTCTTTTGATCATTTCAGATTTGGGGTTTTCAGGTTAGGGATGCTCAAGCTATGTGTACATGCATGTATGAGATCATCTGCAGACCCATGTGCATGTTTTTATGCGTGTGTTTATCCATAAATGCACGAGGGGGGGGATGGAAGCTCTCATGTGGATCACAGCCAAGCTTCTGTTTTAGATTCTGTTTACTTCAAGAGAAAGAGTAACAAGCCAGAAGCCTTTGGCTTCACGGGAAACAGGGTGACAAACATTTTTAGCACAGGATCGGAAGCCCAGGGAGGAAGCCAGTGCCCCCCCCCCCCCGCCCCTGCAGACAGAGGCACTAAAGGGTTCCAGAAGGAGGCTGGAGCCTCGGCGAGCGCCCTCCTGGCTGAGCCTTCACCTGCCTCATCTATCTTACAGTAAAAGTACAGCGTTTCCACGGGCTGGGGTCCGGCGGGGGCACAGTCCCCGTGGCCTGAGCTGCGGGGAGGCTGCCCTCTCCCTCACTCTGCCATTCCAAGGTTTTCAACTTGCATAGAAAGCTCAGGAGGAGGTGCTCCGGCATCTTGGCCACTCAAAACGGACTACACCCTGGCAACCTACAACCTCACGGCGCCAAAACAGAGACAAAAACTTAAAAGAAACAAAAACACACACTCGCAGAGCCCGCCCCGTCCCATAGCGTGAGTAAAATACACACAGGAAGGAAGTGGAAGGGACACTCCGATGAGTCCGCCCTGGCCGCGGTTTTAAGGGAGACTTCAGTGGCGTCCTGGGCCACCCCGCCCCCCGCCGGTCAGCCACCAACGCGCTAGGGCCCCACTGTCTAGACAGAGAGCCGAGGTGGCTGCCGCGGGAGACAATGCCTGGGGAGTGGCAGGCTGTGGTCCCAGCAGGGAGGCCTGTGGCGCTGAGTGCAGGGAGGAGCCTGTGATTCTGGTGGTCCCAGCCAGTCTCGCCTTCCTGGCAGGGCTGGCTTAGGGCCCAGGCCTCTGCAACCAGGGTTGCTCCGGCAGGACCTAGCTCTTTGCTGTCCTTCCCCTGTCCCAGCCCCAGCCCCAACCCCCATGGGCTCTTCCCTCTGTCTCTGCTGCTGCTCTCTGCCCTGCCTCTCTGTCTGCTGTCCCCCTCCTGTCTTCCTTTTCCCAGATTCTCCAAACGGAAAGTCTGTCTCCCTGGCCGTTGCTGACCCGGAAGTTTGCACGCAGCTCTGGGAGCTCAGCCAGTCACTCTGCCTCCCTGAGCCCCATGCTGCTGTCTGTGGAATGAAGATGAAGATGTTGAGCGCCCAGGTGGGCAGTGAGCTTCAGCCAAATGGCACTGAGTACCCTCACCCACAGAGCCCGGAGCCTGGGTCCCGAACAGGGCAAGAGCAGGGAGCTGGGAGCCTCTCCCTCTCCCAGTGATCAGGGAGGGGGAAAGAAAAGGCTGCCATTCTAGGCCCTTGCATTGTGGGCACAATGGGCAGAGGCCTTCTTCATGGTCCCAGGACACAGGTCTCACAGACATGCGTGTTCACGGAGCGATGTCCCATGTCCGGTACTGTAAGGCTTGGCAACTCAGGAAGCCTGGCCATCAGCAGGCTTCTGCGTGGATGGCCTGCAGGTCCAAGGGGATGGAAGCCCAAAGTGTCAGCTCAATGAACCTGGGCCATCACCGCAGAGACGTGAGCCTGACCTGGGTTCAAGCTGCAGAGCCACATGGGTGGGTGTTGTCTGCACTCTGGGTTCTTCCATTAAGAGGCGGCTGGTCCACGGGCTTGGCATTCTACCTCTGCAACCTGCTCTGTGACCAGAGCATCTCTCCTTGGCGAATAGGCAGTGCTTATCAGGGCCTTTCCACCTATACCCCTGACCCCGCCCCTGGTCACTCAAGGACACATGTGGCCGGTTCCCCCTTGTCCTGTCACTGCTCCTGCCTCCCACCAGCCCTTGTTGCCTCCCTTTCTCACCAGACTGGGGTCACAGGGACCAGATTTGCTTTCCTGCTTGAAGCAAACAGCACAGCCAGCCAAGATACGAGAACAGGATGTCAGATGAGGAAGGACAGGGTCCCCAGGGAAACAGGAAGTGGATGGCGGAGAGCCGTGTTCGCTGCGCCAAGACAGGGGACCCTGGCAAGGAAAAAGTGGACGTCAGCACGGAGGGGAAAGGAGCGGAAAGGCCTGGGGAGCAAAGCAGCCAGGGTTGTTGGGACAGTGCCAACAGCAGGCAGTGTCGACCAGACTGGACAACCCCTATTCACCAGGCACTGGGCAGCATAGTCAGCAGCCAACCCAGACCTAGGCTGGGGCTAAGCAGTACCGCACTGAGCAAGTCCTAAAGGCAAGACCTGACAAGATCAGACAACTTCTAAGTGACTTCATTGCCTCTCAGGGTAAAAGCTCCAGAATCTTTACAAGAATGCAAAAATCTCCTACGTCCCAAGTGCATCTAGCATCCTGCAAACATGAGCAGCCCGCAACAGAAGCAGGAGCAGGTGACCCGCAATGAGATGCAGCGCGGCAGGCCCCCTGCAGGCTGCGGTGGAAGCTGTCAGGGAGGGGCAGAGATGTGGCAGAGCTGGGAAAACAGAGTCAAGACAGGTGGCCAGGAAGGAGCCCCCCAGCTCCTCCCTGGGGGCGGGGGATGGGGCCAACTGGGGAACACAGCTCCTCTCTGCTGGGCCTTCCCTTTTGAGAACAGCCACATGGAAGGTTTTACCCTTGCTCTAGTTTCTCGGCTTCCTCCTGCTTACGAAATGAACAACCAGAAGTGTCTAAACATCAGCAACGCGCTCAGCAAGCTATTTGAAAGCGAACACTCAAGTAACTGCCTCCTGCTAGACTCCCCAGATCTCTGCCATCTCAGCAGTTGCAATCAACACTTCCTACTCTAGAGTTGATGGGAGTCAACAAGTGTCGTCAGGCCAAAGGTCTGTCTGGAGTCCTGTGGTGTATGCATAGTTCCCGATCCATCTCCTTTTTCTCAAAATTATGCCTTCAACCATTCACCCTGCTGCCATGTGTATCTCTGATTTACTTTTTTTTTTAAGTTGTATTTATTTTTATTTGAAAGGTAGAGTTACAGAGAGAGAAGGAGAAAGAGAGATCTTCCATTTGCTGGTTCATTCCCCAAATGACTCCAAGGTCTGGACTTGTATTGGTGCAAAACCAGGAGCCAGGAGCTTCTTTTGGGTTTCCAGTATAGATACAAGGGCCCAAGGAATCGAGTCATTCTCCACTGCCTTCCCAGGTCATTCGCAGGGAGCTGAACTGGAGCAGCCCCAACTGAAACCAGAGCCTATATGAGATGTCAGCAGTGCAATCAGAGCCTTAACGGTACTGGCCCCTGAAATTCATTTTTGCTGCAGTATAAAATCTTATTATATGAATATGCATCTTTTTTATCCCTGTTACTATTGACAGACATTTCTGCTACTGCCATTCAGTCTTAACTGGAACTGCTGTAATGGACATGCCCCAGGTTCCCATTGGTGAGCTTGAGGGCCAGAGTAGGGGCTGCGGCCTGGTGTGGAAATGGCTGCAGTGTCCATTGGCATGGGTGTGGACTGAGTCTGGGATGCACTGGACTTCGGTGCCCATGCAAAAGCTGAATGGGATATGGGACAGACCAGACCAATCTGCTCTACATATTGGCAAGCATGTGAACTGGGCGGTGGGTAGGCCTGGTGGGGATTATTGCAGGTTGTTCTAACTAGGCTGCAGCTCTCACTGGTTTGTGTGAAGGCCAAGTATGTGGTGGGCAGGATTGGGCCGGACTCTAACACCCATTAGTTTGTGTAGGAGACAGGTCTACAGACAGAACTGACCCAGTAATTGCAACTAACAATGTATGCATAGGTTGATTTGGGTGACAGACTGTGCCAGATCCTGTATTGGCAAACACACACAAGAATCAGGTCTAGGATCACCTCAGATGAGATTTCTTTGGCAATTCCTCCATAATTGAACTGCTAGGCTCAGAACCTCAATCATGGAAAGGATTGACGGCCCAATGGTCTGACTGTGGAGTGCATGTAACAGAGCTGGGCTGGACCTCTTCAGTGGCTTACACAGAGCAGTGGACAGCATATCCAAATACACATGGAGGGTATGGCAGTACACTGGAGCCTGCAGAGGACACCTGGTACCATAACAGAGGACAGAAGACAGAACAAACTGATCAACTATCCTAGCCAAGCATTGGCAGTGAATATCTGGGCAAACAGAGACTCTTAAGGTGGACTATGTCAGTCAGTGTATTCTGGAGAGATTTCATCGTGACTGGAGTGGTGGGATGGACAGCAATCCAGACCTGTTGAACTATCAAAAACACTTGAGCAGGACCCTCAAAGTGAGTCCCACATCGGGGACCCTGGGATGGTTGGGAGACTGGGTGTGGCTTCTCCCCTTATCTCCCCTCTTTCCCCAGATACAGAAAGGAAAAAAGAGAATGTGAAATCAATGGTTTCACCCACTTTCCTCTAGCCCTCGATCCTTCACACCGTAATTAACTGCGTAAAAATTATCAAAAAAGAAAATTAAAAAAAAAAAAAAAGAAAGAAAATGCCCCAGATTGAGTTGCATAAGCAGCAAACATTTATTTCTCCTAGTGCTGGCACCAGGAAGTCAGAGATTGGAGGGCAGCAGTCCTTTCTGAGGTTTTGGGCAGCTGTCTTCTCTCTGTGTCCTCACTTGGAGGAAAAAGAAAGAGGAAGCAAACACATGTTTTCTCATGAGGTTGGTTATCACGCAAGGCAGGGTGGGGGACATCTACTCTCAGAAACCCATCACCCATCTCAAACACATCACCCGGTGGGGGGTACAGTTTCAACACGGGGGGAAGGGGGGAACTCATACATTCAGGCCACGGCAGAGGCTCTGATGCACAGTGAGATATGCCTGTGGACCTGTAGCTAAGAAGGCCTTGGCATACTGTCCACCGTAGGCTCAGTAGTACTGAACACCCTCAACTTTCACTTACTTCAGCCTTTGTCTATAACATCACATCCCCTTCTGGTCTGTAATGTTTCTGCTGAAATAGCAGCTGATGATGTTATTGGAATTCCCTTGTATGTGATGAGTTGCTTCTCCTGATTTGGGTGTTTGACTAGCATCTCAGTACAGCCTCCTTAAGTTTACCCCAGTTGGGATCCATGGAGCCTGAACCCAGATGTCCACCTTTTTCCTTAAATTTGGAGGGTTATTGACTATTATTTTTTCAAGAATAATAACTGTTCAGATAAGCACTCTTTCCTCTCCCTTTTCTCCCTCTGTGATCAATAACACATGTATTGATCTCTTAATGATTTCCCCTAAGCTCTTTAGGTTTTCTTTATTTTTCTCGGTTCTTTTTTCTCTTTGTTTTCTGATTTGATAATTTCAAATGACCTGTCTTTAGAAATACATATCTTTATTTGAAAGGCAGAGTTCTTGGGGGAGAAGGGGAAGAGTTGGTGGAGAGATTTTCCATTCAGTGGTTCACTCCCCAAATAGCCTCAGCAGCTGAGGCTGGGGCAGACCTAAGCTAGGAGCTTCTACAGGTTTCCACATGCATGCAGAGGGCCCAGCTCTTGGGGAGTTCTCTGATGCTCTTCCAGGCATATTAATAGGGAACTGGATTGGAAGTGGAGTAGCCAGAACTTGACCCAAGGTCCACGTGGGATGTCAACACTGCAAGGTTTAACCAGCTGTGCCACAGCACAGACCCTGAAATGACCTGTCTCCGACCTCAGAGTCTTCATGAAGGATGTTCTGGTAGGTACTCCTCCTGTGCCTTTTGTGGCTCCTATCTCTCATAGCCGCGTTCTTCTCAGGGATCAGTTTCATGATTCCGCCTTATGGTCCGTCTGTGTCCTATTGCAGGACATTGAGCTTCTTTCCGACAGTTAATCTGAATTCTTCTTCCGTTGATCGTGGTTTCTTTAGGGTCCATTCCTGAGGTTTTTGTCTTGTTCCTCTGTTTCCTCAAGTGCCTTTTTTTTTTCTTTCTTGAATTTTAAATTAAAAAAAAAGCACACCTTCAGGGAAGATTTTTGTCATCAAGCCCCTGTCAAAAGCCCAGGGGCTCTAAAAACATCTCCAGGGAAGATTTCTTCTCAGTACTGTATGCTTCATTTCACAGAGTTTTTTTTTTTGTCATTTTCTTCTTCAAAATCTCGTGATTTCTTGCTCCCTCCGGTAGCGCCGCTGGTTCTCTGACCTTGAGAGATCTTGAGCTGTGACTTGTCATCCGCGGAGCCCAGGCATCCAAAACGCGCCAGTTGGGTCCACTCTCCAAGTCAGGCAGATACTGGTCTCCGGCAGGCTCCGGAAGAGCTGAAAGGCTGGACTGTGTTCCATGTCTCTTTCCATCCCTGGGGAGGCGCTACAGGTTGAGGATTTATTTTGGGTTGCACGGGGCATCCCTGTCTTGGAGAAAGAGATATCTCAGTTGGAAATAAGTGAAGTTTTTTGATCTGCTTCAGTGTTGCAGTTCAGGGCATTGAGCTGTGCTGCGCTGCAGTGACTGGTATGGGGAGTCCGCCTAGATGATGTCTGACTATGTGCTTGACAGCACCAAGCCTGCGGTTCCTCCTCATCCACCTTGCTGCTGGAGCTCAGAACTTCATTTTCCTCACTCGTTTTATGGATAGTCAAACTTGAGCAGCACTTCCGTAAACGTTTATAATGCTTTCTGTACTTTTTTCTTACGTGTGCAACCATTTGGCCTGTGTCATTCTCGTCCTGTGTGCCGTTCCACCCTCTTGTGGAGTTTCACAGCTCATTGTCATCTCAGTCCCAAAGGCGACACGTTCCTCTTATCACCGTCGATATGTTGATCGTTGATCCTCTGTAAAAACGTTTTATTAGTCTAAGCATGTTTTCCTTTACTTCTACTGTGATTAAAAGTTTTATTGTAAGGAGATATTAACTTAGGACATCAAATGCTTCTGAAGGTCCATGTTGTGGCATAGTGGGTGAAGCCATCGTTTGAAGTAGACACCTCATATGAGTGCCAGTTTGAGTCCCAGATGTTTTCTTTATGATCCTGGGAAAGTAGCAGAAGATAGCTCAAGTGCTTTGGTCCCTACCTGATGTGAGAGAGCCAAATGGGGTTCCGGACCCCCAGTTTTAGCCTGGCACAGTTCCAG